CTAAGGCAGGGTTATAAAAAGGAGTCACCAGACTGTTAAAGGAAGGGCCTTGGGGAAAAATAAAAAAATTCTTGCCCATCTATGCCACAAGATAGGGAAGAACCCAGGGACTATACATAGCTTACAAAAGCCTTTTGTAAACTATAGATTATTTGTTTTCACCCTGGCTGAAGCATACCACTATTTGTTGCTTGCTGAGTTTTACTCAACCAGGCAAAAGATGGTACCAGTTTCCCCAACTTTTGTTGCCTGCAGCTACAGCCAAGGCCATTCTTACACAGCTGAGCGGGCAGAGCAAAGTTTAAAATTATTGTAAAAGGTTGTTAAACACAAATTTATCTGCTACTGACTCCAGGAATGGTTTCTTGGTAGACAGTAAAAAATTTGGAGTCTAGGAATCCAAAAGGGGGGCAACGCCCTGGAAGGGGCATAGACTTCAGGAAGAGATTGCTTCCTGGTCATGGAATGAGGAGCACCAAGGGAGGAAGGAGGCAGGCATAGAGAATAGAGGCATAGAGCAGGGAGGAATACACATATAGAGGGACAGAGAAAATGCAGACTTATTTAGGTTTGTGTTTGAAGTTTAACATTTTACAGATTTAAGCATGCAAAGTTTTCAGTTTAGTTTAACAACACCACTTCTCCTCCTACAGACTTATTGAAGTGTAGAGGAGGGGAGACCTGCTCTGAAGAGTCATAAGATGTGTCAGAGGCTAGGTCTATACTTGAAAGCTTTATCAGCATAGCTGCATCAGTCAGGGGTGTGAAAAACCACACCCCACTTAGTTATGCTGGCATAATCTTCAGAGTAGACAGAGCTATGAAAACCTACATTGACAGAAAAACTGTCGGTGTAGGCCGCATCTACATTATGAGGTTATGCCAACACAGCTATGGTGATACAGTCTCCATAGTGTAGAAATACCATCAGCAAGGTGCTCTACTGCTGTACAATGTTTCACACACTCATTCTCACCCCACCCCAGTTTACACCTCCAACCTAGTTAACTATGTTCCCTAAATATTTTTGAAAGATATGCAAGAGGTAAAAACAAATTATTAGGCTACGATTGCACACTGATTTATTGAATGGGAACCGAACATGTATAATCTTGATTTTTTTTAATATTTTCATGTTTTTTCAAAATTTTGGGGCAAAGATCATTTTGTGTGGACACTGCAATTTGGGCGGGTCAAATGCAACAGGATTATGTGGCAGTGTGGAAGAGGTTGAATGCCCTAACAGTTCTTTTTGAGACATTCTGATTTTTTTGTTTGTTTTTTAAAGATGAAATTTTGATAAAGAAAGGTAATATTGGTTTGAGGTGCTAGCTGGACTCCTCCAAAACACACTTTCAACTTTACCGCTGTTCAAAAAGTCTGTAATTAAATATAGAGGTAAACCTTCAAATCTAAAGTAACTAACCTTTGGCCAAAAGCTACCAGTTATAAGTCTCCGAAGTTGAAACTAATGGTTACCAGTTGACTTTTACCATTTGGTAGCTACTAAAGATCTGATAACTTTCTCTATCTCATTTCTTTTAATTTATTGGTGTTTTAGTTTTTAAAGGCAAAACATTTGTTAAGGTTATATATTTAAGCAATTAGAAATAAAATATGAAAAAATTAAAGATTTTAAACCCTGTTTAAACCCTGATAACTCACACGTCTTATGATACAGTTTAGTTATTTGATCATGAGTTAGATACAAGTGCACCCAGAGTTGCAGAAAACACGTATTTGAAAAATAATATATTTAATAACCATTATAATGCAAACATAACAGAAAACAGAGTGTAGATTATATATTTAGACTTCGCTTTGGCATTGCCAGAATTTTGGTTGTATTAAGAGTATATATATTGTGTATTTTAATTGGTTATAAAAATCACATTGTTCCCTCCCTCTCTTGCTCCAATTTTATAAAAGGCTTTAAATATTATTCTTTGATCATTTTTTTTTCCTGTGGCTGGTAATTTTATGCCTGCCAAAAAAAATTTACAATGTATTTCAAAGAACTGAATGCAATGAATCCCATCTAACCACAACAACATTTTAAGTGTACTTTAACAATAACCGTCCTTTTCCTAAAGAAACATCTTGACCCAAGTTTTCAAAAACCTTTAATGTTGCCCACAAACTGATGTAGGCTTCTGAATGGGTCTAATTACAAACAGAAATAATTGCAATATTGAAGGCCAGATTGAGGAGCTGCTGAACAGATATAACATCTGCACATTAAATAAACAGATGAGGGTGTTTTGAAAGGTAGATAATTGGTTATGGTGAGGATGTTATCGAACAACAATACAACTGGCCATGTTGAAGTATATATTTTCTTTAAGGCATGCTCAGGGACAGTTATTTTCAAACAACATTTCTTCTTGTTCTAAAATGCTCTGTAGTTTTCCTATGTGCTCAGATAGTTGATTAGTGGTTTAAGTCTCACGAAAGGAATACCTGGGGTGGAATCCTGGCCAAATTGAATTCAACAGGAGTTTTGCCATTTACTTCAATGAGGCCAGGATTACACCCCCTATAGTTCATCCAAACAAAAAAAAAATACATGTTCTGGCAGTTTCAGCTTTGACCTTCCTCTTTCTGAAATAAGGATGAAATTCAGCCATGACATAAAGTAGGTAGAATCCCATTGACCTCACTGGAGTCACACCTGCTTATACCTTCACACAGCGCACAGTCAACTTGTGGAACTCCTTACCTGAGGAGGTTGTGAAGGCTAGGACTATAACAGCGTTTAAAAGAGAACTGGATAAATTCATGGAGGTTAAGTCCATTAATGGCTATTAGCCATGATGGGTAAGGAATGGTGTCCCTAGACTCTGTTTGTCAGAGGGTGGAGACGGATGGCAGGAGAGAGATCACTTGATCATTACCTGTTCGGTTCACTCCCTCTGGGGCACCTGGCATTGGCCACTGTTGGTAGACAGGATACTGGGCTAGATGGACCTTTGGTCTGACCCAGTATGGCCGTTCTTATGAGTTTTGTCCCAAAAGAGTACCGTGCAGTTTTTTGGGAAAGGGACGTGTGTTTGGCTGAGACCTTAAAAACCAACTTCCCTTCCTGTTGTGCAGTTCTCTGACTCTGCCTGGTTTCCTCCTCTACTGAAAAGATGGCGGATTTTCAGTGGTGCTAGGGAAGTATGGAATAAAGCACTTTAGGATCTCTGGAGATGAAAAGGTATATGCGTACAGTTAAACACCAACTATGTTTTACTATGCAAGTAGCTGCACTTCAATAATAAGGAAAGTAATTCCTGTAAGTGTACATATACACACATACAAGCTTTACAAAATACCCTCTATTTGTTAATATGCAAAGAGTTCTGGGATAGAAAACGCAATGAGTTTTAGCAGCTTATTATTTCTACCTTACAGAACTGAGTGAGTACACAGCAGAAGTAGGACAGTTTTCTGATTCAACAACATGAATTTTTAGTTACAGCCGGAATGAAACAACTGTTTTGAATGCAAAAAGTTGCAAGAAGCAAAAAGATTCACTCACAAGCAAAATCAACTTTACTTCCTGTTTATTGGAGAAAACCAGAAGACCTAGAATTCAGAAACAGGCAGGAGTGCAAAGAATCTGGGAACTCACTCTATCCCAAAAGTAGTTTAAAAATATATATCTTATTTTAACTCCAACACCACAAGGCATTTCTACAAAGACTAACAAAATACAGTTCTCCCACAACTAAGTAAATACATAGTTCCTTCAATATACCCATCCATCTCACATGGCGGCCCACCCCAATTCAGCCCACATTGGGCAACGCAGGCTTTTCCATTGCCACCAACGGTAGTACAGCAGCACCCGGTCTCTACGGTGGGAGCTCCCCGAGGTACTGAGGGCTGCTCTCTCCCCTTTCTACAGGATCTGTCATGCATACCCTATTTCCAAAGTCAGGCACAGTGAGGGGAGTTTTTCTCCCCCAAGTTCTACCTAGTATTCTCTATTCCTCTTCCACTACACACCACCTGCATTAAGCACAGAGGGGGGTTCTACATCACAAGGTTCTGGTCTGCAGCCCTAGCTCTCCATAAGCTCAATAGATGAGACACTAAATCAAATTAGCTTGACCCCCATACTCCCTGAATTGAGCACTGAAGTCAGTTCGTTCCCCTGCCCCTGGGCTCTTCCCTCCCGTTCCCTCTATTCGTTCACGTTGATTCCTTTGCCTCGTAAATCCCCTCTAAATCCTCACTTGGGCATTACACTGAAGCCCAGAGCTAAGACTCTGTCCTGTGCCCAATAATGCCTTTATTGAACAATAAGGTGAGCTCCGCTCCCGCAGGCTGGGCTATTGAGCTACCCCATTCCACCCAAACTGATTACCGAGGTAGGATAGCCCAGCCCCAAGTACTGCCATACTGTCCGTCACCATCTGCAGCAGACTAAGAGATGGTATCCGTCCTCCTTGGCTGTACAATAAGCCGCTCTGCATTAGACACTGAGATGAGTGTTGTCCCTCCTACTCGGACCTGCCTTTCAGACACCCACACCTCCGCAGTGGGCACTAAATCATCATCGCCCCTTGGCTCTGCCCCGCCGCTTCCCGCCTCTGTACGGGCACTGAGGTCCGCTCCCTTCCCGCCGTTCGGATTCGGGCTCCGCTCTGCCAGGCGGAGACCCCAGGCCCGTCGCACAGGGCCCGAGAAGGATGCCCCCACCACCCCGTCCTGTCCCGCAGCCCTTTACGCGCCGCATGAGGCACGGAGGTGGAACTCCTGCCCTGCCGCACCTACCCCTGAGGAGGGATGCGCTACCGTACCGCCCCCTGCACCGGGGCTCCGCTAAGGACCCCCCCAGGTTCTGGCTGACGCCGGGCCCTGTCACCGCGGCTCAGCCCAGACACCAGCTCCCCTTTGCCAGAAAGAGGCAGGTACAGCCCCCGCCCCCACCCCGGGGCTCTTGCCGCCCACAGAGCGGAGACCCGCTTCCCCACACCCGCCCCAGGCCCATTTCGAGCCCCCTCACAGACCTGTGGATCCAGCCATCTTGTCCAAACCCCTCCCACCGGCCCGAGCCTGCGCGTCCTACGTCACCTCCGCCTCACGCAATGCATCACTTCCTAGTAACAACCACCGGACTCGCGAAACTAGCAGGAGAAATAGAAGCCAGCCCCGCATCCATACGAAGGGGCGGTGACAAGAAGGCGGGCCTGTGCCGCGAAACTTGGTCAAGTATGGGTGATACCATTATCACCAGGGGGAAAGGGGGAACCTTGCCTGTGAATCTGACCTAGGCTCTACGTGAGTAAATTCCCTGTATTGTGGAAGAATCAGGCTCCTGTCAGACTTTGCTCTGTCCCTGCAGAGAGGCTCACAGAGCCGCTATGGGGCGATCGTCTGCACCCGGAACCCAGATGGGTGGTTCCGTCCCCCTGTCTGGGCCGAGTTGGGCTCTGCCGTGCGGCTATTGGTAGGAAAACCCGGGAGAGCCCGCCCATGTGACCCGTTTGGCGCGCAATTTTCTCGGGGTTCCCGGGCTGGCCGAAGGTGCTTGCAGAAGAAAAGTGGGGTAAGAGCGCGAGACGCCGCCGCCACCCCCCAATATCTGCGCGCGAAGGGGCTCGAGTGGCGGGTGCGTCCCTCTGGGGCGGGCTCGCGGCGCTGAAGGGGGCGGTGCGGCGACTCCGTGTCGTGCCGTTAATTCCCAGTAACTTGTTGGTCTCAGGGCCCGGCTCGGAGCAGGTGTCGGGGGGCGGCGCAGAGCAGGGCTGTCTGCTCCCGGTGCGGGGCTCGCGGGAGAGGGGGCTCGGTGCGGGCTCCGGACCGGTGGGGGCTCGCTCTGCTCCGCCTCAGTTTCTCTCTCCACCCGCGCAGGGAGCAGCAGCAGCCGGTGAAGCAGCGTCATGTCCTCGCCGGTCTCCACACCGAGCCGCCGCGGCAACAAGCGCGGGCGGAGCAGCAACCCCCCGACTCGTAAGTGCAGCTTTTCCCTGCCGGGTGCGTCGGGAAGGGGCGGGGGGGCGCTGACTAGTACTCCGCAGCCGCAGCCCTGCAAACTCCACTAGGAGATGAGTGTCCGGCCTGGAAGGCATGGGCAGGCCAAGCAATGTCTGGGGAGGGGGACGTGGGCAGCCCCTCGCTCTCTGTTTGGTCCTAAGTAAAGGTATATTCACAGTGCAGAGAACGTAAGAAAGACCACACTGGGTCAGACCAAAGGTCCATCTAGCCCAGTCGCCCGTCTTCCGACAGTGGCCCATGCCAGATGCCCTAGAGGGAATGAACAGAACAGGTTATCATCAAGTGATTCATCCCCTGTCGCACATTCCCAGCTTCTGTCAAACTGAGGCTAGGGACACCATCCCTGCCCATCCTGGCTAATAGCCATTGATGGACCTATTCTCCATGAATGTATCTAGTTCTTTTTTGAATCCTGTTATAGTCTTGGCCTTCACAACATCCTCTGGCAAGGAGTTCCATAGGCTGACTGTGCGTTGTGTGAAAAAATACTTCCTTTTTTTGTTTTAAACCAGCTGCCTATTAATTTCATTTTGTGATCCCAATAGGTCTTGTGTTCTGAGGAGGAGTAAATAACACTTCCTTATTTACTTTCTCCACACCAGTCATATCCCCCCTTAGTTGTCTCTTTTCCAAGCTGAAAAGTCCCAGATTTACTAATCTCTCATCATGGAAGCTGTTCTATACCCCTAATAATTTTTGTTGCCCTTTTCTGTACCTTTTCCAATTCCAGTATATCTTTTTTGAGATCGGGTGACCACATCTGCACGCAATATTCAAGATGTGGGCGTACCATGGATTTATATAGAGGCAATATGATATTTTCTGTCTTATTATCTATATTCTTCCAATGATTCCCAACATTCTGTTAGCTTTTTTTGACTGTAGCTGCACATTGAGTGGATGTTTTCAGAGAACTATCTACAATGACTCCAAGATCTCTTTCTTGACTGGTAACAGCTAATTTAGATCCCATCATTTTATATGTATAGTTGGGATTATGTTTTCCAATGTGCATTACTTTGCATTTATCAACATTGAATTTCATCTGCTATTTTGTTGCCCAGTCACCCAGTTTTGTGAGATCCTTTTGTAGCTCTTCGCAGTCTGTTTGGGACTTAAATATCTTGAGTAGTTTTGTATCATCTGTAAATTTTGCCACCTCACTGTTTACCTCTTTTTCCAGATCACTTATGACTATACAGTACTGGCGTGGCATAGCTGCGCTGCTGTAACCCTGACCCGTAGCATAGGCACCGTCTATGCTGAGGGAACTCTGCTCCCCAGGTGACAGTAGCTGCCCAACTACTAGCGTACACCCAGGGTTGGGTCTTCCTAGCTACACTCAGGAGTGTGGCTTTTTCACATCCCTGACAGTCTAGGCCTAAGCGGCTAATGCCCAAGAACAGATGGAGTCTAACTTACTTTCACACATGTTTGCTCTGCAGGGCTAACACCTTGGGAAGAACAATAAAAGCATTTTTTGTCATTAAAGCAAGAATTTAAAAGTCTTTGGACATGCAGGATGCAAGGAGTTGTTGGTTTAGACCCTTTTCAGAGGAGCACGACAAGTTAAGCAGCATTGATATTAGTTAAGGCTAAACTGGGCTAAACTTGTTTTTTCTATAAGGCCTTGTCTGCACTACAGAGGCTTTGCCAGCACAGCTATACGGGAAGGTAGGTAATGTCATTTGTAAGCTCAGCGTGCTGTGGGGCAGTCTTTCCCGTTTCTGTGAAACTCTTCTGTCAGCATAGCTGTGGCTACAACTGTGGGTTTTTGCTGGCATAGCTGTGTCAGCTAGGGCTATGGTTTTTTTACATCCCGTCACTGGCATAGCTATGTTGACAAAACTTTGTATGGACTTGGCCTTAGTCTTCAACAATGCATGGGTGCAAGAGGATGCTTTTTAAAAGTGAAACGGAGGCAAGTTTACAAATGTTACAAATATGATACGTGAAACTTAGTACTGCACTTGAAAAGCGTCGCTTCCGCCTCTCTGTGCCTCAGTTTCCCAAGCTGGATAATGATATTGCTCTCAAAGCACTTTACAAAGGAGTCTACTGATGAAAAGCGCTATATGAGCTAGGTTAGTAGCAGCTCTAGAGAGTAGCAGCTCTGATTTCTTAGGCATTTAGGAAGATAATTGCCGTATTAATTATTTTAAATTGTCTTAAGCTATTTTCCACTTTTGGAATCTCACAAATATTTTGTTGAAATGAAAATGAAGAATATTGCACTTTGCTTTTTAATTTTATATCGGCCAAGTTATTGGCTATTCTGTCATATGATCTATTTTGTGATTTGGTCTTTTAACATTAATCTGTGTAGAATGTTGCAGCTAATATATGAAATAGCTACTTACCAGCTTTCATCTTGTTCCAGCACGCCCTGAAGATGCTCAGTCTCCTCCTTCACAAAAACGTTGAACAGATGACTCCACATCTACAGGAGATCTACAGCCAATGCGAACTTCTCCAGCAGTGGACATGCAAAGCCCAAATGCTCAAGATGTTCTGTTTTCCAGCCCACCACAATTTCAGGGATCGGGTATGCTTGTCAGTAGTAGGAGCAAAATGCCGAAATCTGTGTATTGTTGGCTATTAAATGGTCTATACTGAAAGATTTAATGTACAATTTTACAAAGCTGTCAATTTAAAAACAAAAAGGGCCTTTTTGAATGAACAGGATTGTTTTCAATTACAGGTTAATTGGTGCCTTGCTTTTAATTTAATTAATCGATCTTAGCGCATAAAACATACAACCAGTAACAGTATACTCATCCTAGAACATCCCTTTTTGCCCTGACTGTCAGCTGCTTGTTAAGTTCTACAGTGTTTTAAAATATTGTTGGGGTTTAAAATAAACTATTTTAGCAAAGTGTGTTCCTTCTGGCTTGGAGAAATATGGATTAAAATTTATACAGTACATTATACGGTTAGTACAGCCTTGTAAAATACAGTTATAAAATTAACAAGACTTACAAACTTTGCTAGCCTGCCATCACACTGACTGACTAACACTAACTTGTTTACTTCATTAGGGCAAAGCATATTCGTTAATATTTTGAAGCTTTCCCAGAACCTCGCAGCCCCACTACTGAAAGCATTGTGCCGGCGGCGCAGTGAGCTGATGCTGCAGGGGAGGGGGAAGAGCAGGGGAGGGGCCGGGGACTAGCCTCCCGGGCCAGGAGCTCAGGGGCCGGGCAGGAGGATCCCGTGGGCCGGATGTGGCCCGCAGGCCGTAGTTTGCCCACCTCAGTCCTATACCAATGGGAGAGCTTTTCCTGTCAGCATGGTTAATCCACCTCCTGAGAGGCAGTAGCTGTGCTGATGGGAGAAGCTGTCCTGTCGACATAGCATTGTCTACAGAGGGGATTAGACTGGTATAACTGCGTCGCTCAGGCGTGAATTTTTCACACCCCTGAGCAATGCAGTTATATCAGTATAGGTCTCTAGTGTAGACCTGGCCCAAAACTCTCCTCGTGTCTTGATTACTGCAACACCCTTTTTTCTGGCCTTAACAAATGAAACCTTACCCTGCTCAGGCCAGTTCAGAATGTTGCCACAAATATTTTCTTAGTATGTTGTTTTGAGCAGATCATCCCTCTCTTTCCGTCTCTTCACTGGCTCCCCCTTCTCAGCTGCACTGAGCATAAGCTACTTGGTCTTCACTTTCAAGGTCTGTCATGGCCCATCCCCACCTTACCCATCAACTCTCATTAACTATTGAGAAGTCTACTTTCTTTTCCAGTTGGACCGCTTCTATCGCCCATTTGTTAAATTTTCAAATAAGCACCTTTGTGTGTTTTCCCATGCTGCCCCTTACACTTAGGAGGAGTTCCCTGTAAATATCTATAAAGCTACCTTATTCTTCTCCTCTAAAGCTCTTCTTAAAGCTCTCCTTTTCTGTGATGCCTACAAA